ATATATATAAATATATATATATATATATATATATATATATATATATATATATATATATATATATATATATATATATATATATATATATATATATATATATATATATATATATATATATATATATATATATATATATATATATATATATATATATGTATTCATTTATATTCTAATTATATGCTCTTTAATGTGTTGAGCTATTATTATTTTTTCCGTAATTGCCAACAATATTAATGTGAGTAAATTATTAAACTTTGAATTATTGATATGCCTCAACATTATTATTGGTCACAAAATTATATGTACGTGGTGTTGTTTTTGGTATGGTGGTGGTGATTGTGATTTGCGGTGATGATTGATTATGTATATCATATCATTATTAATGTACGTGTTTTACCATTAACGTAAATATCAATTATTAATTCATTCAGAATTTTCAGAAAATAGATTTCTCTAATTTGTAGAAAAGCTAGTAATTGTTTAATTTGTATATATGATGAGGTAGAGTTGTTGGTTATGGAACAAAATTGCATAATTAATTAATTAGGATATCCTTCCTATTTTATTTGTCTTTTCAGACAATTTTTTTATTTCAAAATAATTGTCACTTTGAACTAATAATGAAGCATTTATTGCATTTTTTTTATTTGCCCTTACTACTCTTAGGAGTAATATAATTAGGTGAAACAATTAATAAAAATGATTTTTTATTTATTTTATTACAATTTTTAAAAATCCATGCGCATTTATTAATTTTCTTAATATGGGTGCATCAGCTCAAAAGGATATATAAATGGAAAGAAAAAAATACCAAATATGTGCGTGTATCTTCTAATTATCCTCCTATAAACCACTACTATATATGATGATTTTGACACCGAAATGTAGGTAAGGATATAGACCACCACCACCATCAAAGTTGATTATTCCACATGTACGTGAGTGTGGTTTGCAAGCTATTATACGAGAGTGTAGGTTTACCCAGTGCACCTATATGGTTGGCTGCGGGTTCCTGCATTACCAAAAAAAAAAAAAAAAAAAAAAAAAAAAAAAAAAAATTATTCCACATGTACTATATATATACATATACCCTTATTGATAGTTGATGTTATTAATATATAGCTAATAATTAAGTTGTGTGTATTAATTACGAATAAACAAAATTATATGCTAGAAAGAGAGAGACACACGCAGAGAGGATCTGAGGTGATTCTGAAGGAATGTGGTAATTAAAATGATTGTTAGGTGAAATAGCACAATTAATTAATTATGGAGGTTTTGTCAAAGTTGGATGGCCTGCAAATAATTGATCTACCAAGCTATTCATTGGAACTTGTAACGTGCGAACATATATATATCCGAATAATTCAATTAAGTGCCCCGCAACAAACCAAATAAACTTTTTTTTTTTAATTAATTTCTCAATATTTATTTTTTAATATTTTGCCTTCGCTATGTTGCCTAATTGGCGGAGTAAGAGAGTACAATATTATTTGACATAAGTTTAAATTTATCTTTGTAACGTTTTTTTTAGAATGAGTTACTCAGTTTAACTTAGTACGATTTCTATCTTAGAAGTTACGAGCTATTGCACGAGTAAATAGTTTATTTAATACACCTTGGGTAGTTGCATATTCTCTTTAGGGTTGTGCACGGATCGGTTTTAACCACCAACCAACCCATTTTCGACCCATAATTTGTGACGGATAATCAACCATCAACCGATCCATTTAAGTTGGGTCGATAATCTCAACCAACCCATATATAGTTGGGTCGATAATGGTTTCTAATATGCTATAAAGTTGGTTAGTCGGATAATATCGGCCAACCAACTTTATTTATTAATTTATTATTTATTCATTTTATTTAAAATATTTAATATTTTTAATTTCAAATTTCTATTTTATATCACATTTATTAAATTGTGTAATATTGACCAAAATCCTAAAAGCAATAAATCTAACCTAATTATCTATTTTGAACTATTTTAATTTTAAGACATATAGTTAAATATTTGGACGATTATTATTTGTTAAACTATTTATGTTTAACTGCAATATATATGCCCGTAACGTTTTGATTTTTTTTATTTTGAATATTGTTGAACTAATCATATTTAATTTATAAAATATATAGTGTTGTAACAACTAATAAAATATTAAATAAAATAAAAAAATATTTAGATGGATGACCCATCAACCAAACCATCAACCGACCCACTAAATTGGTTTTCAACAATCACCCAACCCATGTAAATTGGGTCGATAACGGTTTCCAATATTGACCGAAGTTGATTGGATGAGTTGGGTTGGTTTTATGGCTGGTTTTTAACCAAACCAACCAACGCACAACCCTAATTCTCTTATTAATAAAAAATTATAAATCGATCGATGGGAATAAAATCCAGAATATATATATATATATATATATATATATATATATATATATATATATATATATATATATATATATATATATATATATATATATATATATATATATATATATATATATATATATATATATATATATATATATATATATAAATGGGGTAGGATGGCTGGCAATTAGGCAGATTATATTGAATTTGAAGGAGTCAAAGGAGTTGGTTGGTCAAATTCAAATATATTAAGTTTGGAGTTTGGTGGATAAAATCAAAAAAAGGGCGTATGAACAATTGAATATTGTTGTCTGTTTGGCATTGACATTTTTAGCCCACCCACCCAGTCGAGTTCAGCCTGGTCTGGGGGCAATTTATATTATTACTTCATTATTCTGCTATATATCATATATATATGAATTAATTAATTATTGGTGAACTCTTTTTCTGGTAATACTAATTGGAAAATATATTATATAATGACAAATTAATTTAATTTAATTTTAATAGAATGCGAGTAGTCGTAGTAGGTAAGTACTAAGTAGTACTAGTATATAAATGATAATATATATTGGACAAGTTTGTATTTGATTGATTGATTATATTGCTTCATATGGATGATGGGGATGCTGAAACAAACTTGTATATATCCAGACTTTTCCTTTGGTGTATTTTTAACTAAACTAACTACAATTTTAGTATTTTACATCTTCTTCCACTTGCTGCAAATTACATTATCTTTATAATTAAAATAAATTATTTGTTCTTGTATTATTATTATTATTATTATCATTATTATTATTATTATTATTATTATTATTATTATTATTATTATTATTATTATTTTGAAATTGGTAAATAAAATATGAAATTATGAATTACTATCTCTCACAATATATCACAATAGTGAAATTAGCATATTTGAATTCAACAAAATATTATAGAATTATACTAGTCGTGATCGATTAATTAGTTAGAGATGAGGCCCTGTATATACCTAATAATTAATTAATACCCATTCATGCATGCATGCATGCAATCAAATAATATCATTAATTTTGACAATCAAATTAATGTATATGATGATTTATATGTTGTTTGTTTGTTTCCTTTTGTTTTCCTATGGATTAATTTTATCATGATGATCATCATGATCATCGATCACTAATTAAGTATTCCCTCCCTCCACTCTCTTTTGTTTCTTTGCTTTCCTTGGCTTTTTTCTTCCAATAAATTAAGCAGTAGACTCTGTTGGGGCTAGCAACAATTAATTAATTAATTAAAATAATCTGCATATTAATAATATACAATTTGAGTCCAGCAAGAAAACACTAGACTAAACTTATATATATTTGTATATGCAGGATCACCAATCATGTATACTCAACAACAAATGGGCGACTTGATTTAATTAATTATACGCCACTTTTAATATAATAAATAGATATGGCATTTTTGAATTGGTAATGGCTTCTTTATGCACTGCGACAACGCTAATTCAATTAAATAATGAATTAATTTCCAATTTGATTGAATTTCAAAGCCCAAACCAACTATAATTCTATCATGGACTGGGCCTCGCTTGGACCTTAATTATTAGTTCTATAATACATATGTGTGCAGGTTGCTTTATTTATAATTTATATTATATTAAATAAAAATAAAAATATATTATATAGATATATGTAAAAACTAAAATGTCTTGGATTAGTTAATTGGTGGGGTCCACGTTTCTGTTTTGTTTGTGTCCGAATTGGAGTGTTGGGTTTCACCATACCAATTTGTCAACTGATGAATGGCTATGGCCGCTGCGGCAGAGCCATTACTTGTACCTACTCCTCCTCCGCCGCCGCCGCCCCGGCGACACTATGATGATGATGATGATGATATCTCTAATTCCCACCACCACTACGGCAGTGAAGACGACGTTGAAGACCCCTTCCCTAATTCTCCACCTCCTCAATCGTCCTCCTCTTCCTGGTCCCGGAAGAAAATGAAGCGGTGCAATACGGCACCGGCCATGGCTGTGATGAAAGATTTCCGCACTCATCACTCCGCCGACGACCCCAATTATCTCCGCCAATCGGATTCCTCTTACCTCCTCCGACAAGCCGCTGTTTTACTGATCGTGTATCTCTCCCTGGGAGTAGTTATTTATTCATTCAACCGAGATCACTTCTCCGGCATCGAGACTCATCCTGTGGTGGACGCCCTTTACTTCTGCATAGTCACCATGTGTACCATCGGCTACGGAGACATCGCCCCAGTCACCCCCATCGCTAAAGTGTTTGCCTGTGTTTTTGTGCTCGTGGGTTTTGGGTTCATAGACATTCTTCTGAGTGGGGTTGTCAATAACGTGCTTGACATGCAGGAAAACATGATCCTTGCCGGGATTGAGGCGGGGCCGCCCCCGAGGCCGCAAAATAGACAGAAGAATCATCATGAGGAGGAGGAGCACCACCACCACCACCCAAGAAGATTCTTTGCTAGGAATTACATAATTGACGTGGCCAAGGGAAGGATGAGGATAAGACTTAAGGTAGGTTTGGCACTTGGGGTTGTTGTGATGTGTATTGGGATGGGGTTTCTTTTTCTATACTTTGTGGAGGATCTGGATGTGCTGGATTCTGTGTATTTATCTGTTATGTCAGTTACAACTGTGGGTTATGGGGACACAGCTTTCAAGACTCTTACAGGGAGATTGTTTGCATCTGTGTGGCTGTTGTTTTCAACACTAGCTGTGGCTAGGGCTTTTCTGTATCTGGCTGAAGCAAGGATCGACAAGAGGCACCGCAAGATTACTAATTGGGTTTTGCATAGGGATATTACCGTCGAGGACTTGCTTGCTGCTGACACAAACCACAATGGCTTTATAAGGTACCTACTTACTTATATTATTATCATCATCTCATGATTTCCTGTTTCGTGTTTATAATAACTTGACTAAATAATAGTTTGGTGGTGTTTTATCTTTCCTTGTGCTTTTTCCTTGTTTCTGCTGCCATACACTTTAATCTTGAATCTTGATGATGAATATGAAGATGATCATAGTATTCGTTCTTGGATAAGATAGTTCATAGTATTAACTTAACACTGAAAGTCATGAGCTCTCTGATATTAGTTACACTCGATAAAGAATTACCAAATACCATATTTTTCATAAATCGAGTGTCTCTTGCTTTCTGGTAGATTGCTATTCTTGCTTTGTTGTTGTGGTTCCAAGAATGAATGCATGGTTGCACAAGCATATATATGATATAATATTATAATGTTGTTGTAACAGTAAGTCAGAATATGTGATATACAAGCTGAAGGAGATGGGGAAGATAAAGGAAACGGATATACTGCAGATATGCAATCAGTTCAACAAGCTTGACCCCAATAACTCTGGCAAGATTACACTTCCTCACCTCTTCGACAATCATTTATAGCTATTGCTTCGATATTCCCATTTTTATTTTATTCATCTGTAGTTCATTCTTGTTCGTTTTAGCATACTAGTACTCGTAATAGATACATACATACATGTTCGTCCCACTGTACAGGTAAACCATTTCTGTATATATACTATGTCTTTTATTCTGGGGAGAAGAATGACATACATACATACACACATACATTGTAATTGTGAACTGAGGACAATCTTGTTGAAAGAATTATATATATATTGTGGTTAAATGCATGCATACAATTTTCTGGTGTCTAGCTATTTGGTAGTGAGTGAAGAGGGGCTCAAATATTTGCAGGCAACTAACCCAAATAATAAGGCTTTTGTAAAATGGGAAAGTAACTAGGAGTATTTTTGGATACTCAGATTTAGTTTCTCTTAGAATCAAAGAATATTTCACCATGTACATACTCACATGTACTTATAGGTACAAGTTTAAGTTCTAGTTACATAAACATAGAAATATGAAAATAAATAAAAAAAAATGAAATTTATTTAAGGGGGTATAGTAATAGTAGTAGGACATGATGATCAGAAGCCTAGCCTGAAAGGAACACCGGTTTGGGGCAACCATTGGGCCCCAGCAAGAAACTGTCCAGCAGTGTATTTAACTGCTTGTGCTGTGTTGAGTACTCTGAAATGTGAGAAAGCTTTGTCCCTCTTATCTGTTCTTGAACCTGGCCCTTTGTTTGCGTACTCGTACATCTCACATGTCTTGTGGTTGTTAGCACCGTCCCACACTCTCCATCCCTCCGGTCTGATAAAGTCACCCAGCTTGCTCTGCATCACCACTGTCAGTGCCTGTGGTGTCCATGGCCTCCCCAAGTATGTTGGTGTTTGGAACCTCGTTGGGAACAAATACTTGTCTGGTACTATCAGGCAGTTCTGTATCACCAAACCGTTACTTCCCTTTTGGATTTCTCTCCCATCTGCTGTCACTGTGTTGAACTGGTTCGGCATTGGTTTCCTCACTACTATCTCACTGTCTTGGATCACTGCATCTCCCTTTCCGAATATGAAATCAACTGTCCCGTATATGTGGCAGTTTCGGTAGAACTGCCTGCGGAATTGGTAGTACAATGTGTCCTGTGATCCCTCGAAGCTGCAGTCGAACAAGACCGCCTTGTCACCTAGCGAACGGAAAGCCACCGCCTGGTGTCCTTCTGGGCCGGCCTCGTTACGGAAGGTCATTGATCGGGCGATGAATCCTTCAGCCTCGTTTGCGAATGTGGCTGTGTGCATTGTACCGATTTTCATCTTTCCAAAGTTTAACTTTCCGGTGACTATGCTCCTTCCAATACCATCTCCGAACATGAACACATTGGGCTTATTCTTGTCCACGATGACTTGCTCGTCGTACACGCCGGCCTTCACGTAGATGATGTATCTGCCTTTGAAGTTTGATGGGTAAGATGCAAGAGCCTGGTTGATGGTCTTGAAATGACCGCTGCCGTCCTTGGCCACCACCGCGTTCGGCCTGATTGCGTTTCCCCTCTTTGCCAGCAGCTTCCTGTCGGCTGCCGCCACCCATGTTGGGTATCCGTCTTCGGTCATCAACAGGCGGCGGTGAGAGCTGCCGCCGCTGCTGCTGGTGGATGTGGCGTTGACAGTCGTCTGTTGGATGTTGAAGAGCTGCAGCACCTGGGACAGCTCCGCCACAATGTTGACGGCGTTGTGGGTGAGCTGGGTGGCGTTGACCATGCCATTCTCGATGGCGGACTTGTACTCGGGGTTCTGGATTTGGTCGACGCAGGTAGTCTGGAAGGCGTAGACGGCGGTCATCCAACTGAGGAGCTCGTGGGCCCTGTCCTCGACGGTGTGCATGTCGTTGTCGCCGACGACGGAGATGGAGGCCTGAAGGGTCTCGACGGCGTAGTCAAGAAGGTCCTTGCAGTCCTCAACGGCAACGTAATTGTATTGGTCGGCGTTTTTGTCAACGACAACCTTAGCGGTGGTGTCGAGGGATTTCTGGACCTCGGTCAAAGCAGCCTGAACGACGGCAAGTATGTAGTCGGTGGCGGTGGAGGAAGTGTTCTTGGCAGTGGATTCGAGGCTGTGGGCACAAGATTCCTTGTAAGAGGTGAGTTCGCAGATGGAGGTGATCATCTTCATGGAGTTGGTGGGGTTGGGTACTGGTTCATGGGAAGAAGAGTCGTTGCTTCTAACCATCGTCACTACTCCGATCACAACACCCACCACCAGCAGGAGGGACACCACCGATATTGCAACCTTCCCAACCATTTTTTCTTTTCTTTTTTTTTTCCTTTTAAATGAATTAATTAAAAAAAAAACAATCTTTTTTTCCCTTTATTATTATTCAGTTTCTACGTCCCCCCCTGGTACAGGAAAATAATAGCCAGCCAGAGAAGAAGCAGAAAAAGGAAAAAAAGGAAAAAAACCAGATGAAGTGGATGAGTGAGTGATGTTAATGTTGAGCATGAATGCCATGCTTATATAGAGGAACTTGTCTATGAACAAATGGATCAACGGCTTTTTAGATCAAAATTCAGTTATGTTTATCATTATGAATGGCACCCCTCTCACTTCGTCCCTATTTTTACTCTTTTCTTTTACCCCCATCAATTCATATTTATTTACTCTAACAAAATTCCGTATCATAAAACGTACTAGCTTCATTTCCCAATTCCATTTAATATATATATAAATTAACACTATTTAGAATTAGTAGTGGAAATTAATATCAGATGTTAGCAAATTATTCATTTAATTTTTGTTTCCATTCCAAATAAATAAAAAAGTTGGAATTTCATTAAAAAAATGAAAAAAGGAAAATTTTATCAAAATAGTCAATTTTTTTTTAATTCAAATCCAAGGAATATGAATGTGACAATGTTTTATTCTTAATCCTGTCACTTTAATTTCAATTTTTTGAAAACAAAAAATGATTATGAACATTTTGATTTAGGAAGTTTTGGATATAAATTGGTTTTATTGAAGATCAATTGTATTTATGGGTAGCAATTATTAAATTGAATTTTGATGAATAGATAGAGAGAGAGAGAGAGAGAGAGAGAGAGAGAGAGAGAGAGAAAATGTAAAGAGTGGTGAAGTAAAAGTAGGGGAGTGGACGTGGAGGAAGAGGAGTCGAACAATATAATAAGCAATTCGTAATTAGGAAAAACAAAATCAGGGATTTGAAGGGCTGGTGTTGGTTGGTTGGTCCGATCATCAAAATAAATATGGAGCAGGAATCGGCGAAAATGTTGCTGGGTTTGGCCCCCAATTCTCATCCCTCCCAATCCCAGGTCGATCAACAACATCTCCGTATGTATATATGTATATGTATGATGTATACGCATAGAAAATGAGAAAGTTAGGTGTTGTGTAGGTAAAAGATGCATACAGAAGTAAGGCTTGGGAAACTCATCCTGATCGATTTCCTGCTCATCTCAAATCTCAAGCTGAATCCAATTTCAAATTGGTATCCGAAGCGTACACCACTTTGTTGAGCTCTGCAGGTAAATTACCTACAGTATGTTTGATGCTTTGCTTTTTACTCTTTAATTACTAGTAGTTACTTGTGGTGTTGCAGGGGGGGCGACTCGGCGGCAAAGTGTACAAACAGGTACGTACCTTCCTTCCTTCCTTGTTGCCTTGTGCCCTGTTATGTGCTCTTTTATCTAATTTATTTATTTATTCATCCATCCATCCATATGGTAACAGCAGCAGGAGCATCATCTTATTACTCGCAGTCGCGGGTGGTCATAAAAACTAGAGTAGGGAGGACACAAACAAGTATGATTAGAGTTGCTTCTCTTCCTTTCCTTTTCATCATTTTTGGTTCACTTACCCTTGCTGCTTCAACTGCTTCCAGGTCCGTCCGTCCGTTCGTCGTCTCTCTTTTTCATTTCTTGCTATATGTGTATTGGGTATTCCCCAACTAACTTTCTGCATTTTGCATCTTCCACATAACAGGGCTTACAAAACACAGAAGGAGGCCCACCCTTCTTTCAATCCCTTTCTCCCTTAGCCACGTCGTCGGATGCACTATATTCAACAAAATATATCCCCATCATCTCAAACTCTGCTCTTTCTATGTAATCACTATTCCCCGTCTCCCCTCTGATCAAATTACAAACTCTCTCTGCTAACAACATGTAACTTATACTACTTCAGTTGCATTCATGTGAAGTTCGCCACCAGTCCACCACATCTTACCTGATGCCCTGTGTTATATACCTAGCAAACTATATAAATCAAATGGTATCATAAGATTTGCATTGTAAATTGTAAAGCCCATATACATGCATTAAGGGCACTCGAGAAAACTAACAAGGGGGCAAATTCATAAGCAACATCATCAGCTGAAACAACACAAGTACGCCCACAATACAACATTCAAACTTGTGCTCTCAGTTTAGTTGTAAATTATCTAAAAACCATAATTCCCACGGGATCAACAACTATGTGCGTAATCAAATTCTCACAACATTAAAAAAATTCCCATAATTTGCTCTCTATGAAAAATAATGTATATTATACATATAGTTAGTTAGATGTGCTTCTCAATGACGGCATATACAATATGCTCTTAACGAGTAATGATAGTTATACCATTACCATTCAGGGTGACGGAATCAGCGAAATATACTCCAATTTCACATGTTCCGTTTCTTCGCGTTCAGTGTGTAATATAATTCCGAACACAAATTGCCACAAAATTGCAGATAAGACCAGCTAGCTATATGCCGACATCCGCTACCACCAAAAGCCGAATTTGGGAGCATTACATTATCATTTGGATCAAATCAAGAACCATTATCAATATCGTCTTTAGTTTCTGACAGAACAATTTTAATAGGTTGCCAACCCAGGTGTGAGTGTGAGATCCATTTCTTCATGGTAATTATCATGTTCATGATCCGAATTACCTCTCCCAAAGAGAATGTTGTTAAGCATGATTTTTTAAGAATCGAAGCTGCTTCATACCTGAAAACAGATGCAATGACATCACCAGCCACTTAGAGGTTTTTTTTTTCTTTCCAAAATGGAAGCAATACATAATTCAGTATTATACTATTTATTACCTGCATTCCGATGCTATCAATGCAGAACGCCCAGTAGGTGACCTTAGGAACTTCTGAATGGCAGCCCAGGTTGTTTTTGGGTAATGTTGGGGATTACCACCATCGGGATTCTCGCAAGTCCACAGCCTCTCAATCCTACCGACATAAAGCTCCATATTACCCATACATTGCTTGAATACCATATTTTGGTCAAGTGCATATTCTAAGGCCTTGTGCACATCAGTATTACGGTATTTTGTATCACCATAACGGATGCAGTCTGTTATATTGGCTTCCGTAGGTGCAATCTTTTCAACTTTTAGAGCATCCAATGCTAGCAAGATAACACCTATAAGGCGTTGAACACCTACGTTTGGGAAAATCCTGGAGTGATCAATCAAACCTAACTTCTCAGTATTTGGCAGTACTGCAGAAGATGTTGTTGTGGAAAACCTAGGTCCATTTAGTAATCTTGAAGGAGCTGGCTGGAAAGTATTGTTATGAGAACCGGAGGGAGTCAAATTGTCTGGAACATGAGGAGGTCGAGACTGGGTTGACTCATTCAGGTAACTTGAGTTGCTAGATGAACTATTGATATTTCCAGAAGACAGATTTGGAGCAGACCTGCTCGCAAGAACTGCCCTCGAGGTTGCTCCAAAGAATTCGTGAGGTGCAATCTTTAACTTTTTTTCCGGTACAATTTCTGGTTGATGGGGAAACCCTGTGTCTTTAGCTGATTCAAGTTTAATGGGCAAACTTGTCATTCTAGTAGTGTTTGCCTGATTTGTGCCATTTGGACAAGATGGCAATTTAACAGCCATCCTTGCAGGAACAGAGAACATATGGGATCCCAAAGGGAAAGTATCAGCAGCATTAGAATAAGAAGGTCGACTTGAAACAATAATATTGTCATAGGTTCTAGTAGTGTGAGATGCACTAACACAAGCAGAATGTCCATCACTTGTGAAAAATGGGATTCCACCATGGACGAGGCTCGACCAATGCCATGCACACTTTGCTGCAGCAACAAGAGCAGGGGATGCTTGCTTTGGCTGCGCGAGCAGGATATTATATCTACGCATGCGTAATTGATGGAGGGCATTTGAAAAGTCCCTGTCTCCGGAGATAAGCAAATAATTTGCTGGAGCAGGGTTGTCCACCGCCCAAAACAGCATGTCAACTAAAATTTTCTTGTCACTTGCATCTTTGGCTCCTGTTATCGAGATGAGCATATTATCAATTAAAAAACTATCAAAAAATTGTCATCAACTGGAACATCCGTTTTCCTTAAAAATATTTGATTGGACTTTATCATCCGAACTGTGAGCATCATAATTCCGATTAATCAAATTCAAATTGTAATTGTAACGATAAAACCCTAAAGTCGGTGGCTATAGCACAAATACAGGGAATGATAAAATGGAAAAGGATACCAGCGGGAACGTGGTTAAGAGCGATGCCAGTACTGGAGAGGGCATGTTGGACGGAGTTAGGAATGCCAGTGGTGTCGCCATATGCAGAGATAGTGGCCGGCCCATAATAGTTCATTTTGTAGAGGGCGGAGCGCAATTGTGTGGGGGTCGCACCCTCTGGGAACTTGGCAGTTCTCGATGTCCCACCAAACAGAAATTTTGGCGACGGCGCCTCCTACAGCAGCCGCGGTCTGCCCATCCCCCACCATCGCAGAATGACTCAACGCTGTTATAGCATCCACAATCATTTATTAATCAGTTCTTCCTTGATTAAATCTCTTGTGTTTTTCCTTTCCGAATTAGGGCATCAAGTAGTAGTATCGTATCGTAACGTCATCCCGCCGGAAATGCTTTTTAAAGTAAGTGGATATTGTATTAGTATGATAATTGGGCTTTTGTATTGCTTTCAAAGACAAGGAAATTGGGCTTTTGTATTAGGAGGTGTTTGGATATAGATTTTTTTTCCAGGTTTTGGAAGAGAGAGAAACGGATGCACATTGTATACGGGAACGGGAGTGATTTGAAGAAATATTTATATAATTATGGCCTTGTGATGTGGGGTATTTGAGTCTTATCTTCATTATGTATTTATTTCAACCATGGTGTTTATATTTGATATATGATTAAAGAAAAAAGAAAGAAAAAAAGATGATATCATATAATACTGAGAGAGAGAGAGAGAGAGAGAGAAACAAGGAGAATATCATATGCCTCAGGTTGTCGATGCATACAGATAATAATAATGATGACATTGTATAAACTTGGAGGCACAAACTGATTCGAGTATCTCATTAGAATAGATGAGACTAGGCGAGTTGGTTGCAGTTTCCATATGAATATCATATGATTTACCAACTTGTTTGGAGGAGACGAATAGTCGTTTGTAGGTGGTCGTCATGTTTCAGCAGCAGTTGGTCCTGGACGAGTATTTAATAGTGGCTGGAGTGCTTTCACTACAATGCTCATGTTTGGCCTGAAATCTGCTTCATATTGTACACACAATGCCGCTACAGCAGCCATCTGCATTTCAACATTCAACTCTCTTATATACATCTTTTCTTACTCTACAACAACATAATCATCACAATAATCACCTTTGCAACCGCCTTTGGTGGGTAATCTCCTCCCATTCTACCGTCAATACATTGCCGCACCTTGTCTTCACTTAGTTTTGGTGTAGCCTAAAACCAACAACGTATACAAAATCATGCCCTACGTAACATAACTATTATTTGGATAGAGAGATAAACGAATAAAACATAAAGGAGAACTAAGTACCCATGTTACTAGACTTTGTTGCCCACGAGGTAATGTGTGATCTACAGGTTTGCGCCCGGTAAGCAGTTCCAGAAGCACCACACCAAGGCTGTACACGTCACTCTTCGAATTCAGCTGCCCAGTCATTGCGTATCTGCCATTTTACAAAATCAATTAAAATAAGACGCCCTAATTAAATAGGAGATGAGAGAGACATGTGAAACAAAAGAGAAATACTCTGGAGCATGATATCCAAATGTCCCAAGAACACGAGTAGAGTGAAGACGTGCTGCCATGTCAGGAGCTTGGTTTGATAAATCAAAGTCAGCAATCTTAGCTACATCATCATCAAATATTAGTACGTTGCTTGACTTAATATCACGGTGAACAATGTGAGGATCTGCTTTTTCATGAAGATATTCAAGTCCCTTTGCAGCCCCAACTGCTATTTTCACACGTTGACCCCAAGAAAGAACAGGACCAGGTTGTGCTCCTTTAACACCTTTTCGTCCTGAAAAATTAACATTTATAAATCAATGAAGGTTGAAAATTTACTGATATATTGCTTTCTATCTCTAGTCCCTATTGAAGCAGTGCTGGGGCTTGGATGAGATATACACTTTTATGTTTGATCATGAAATGCATGATTATACTGAAATAATATAAAATCGAGGTGAACAGAGATGAACTGATCGAGGTTACATCTCAAGTTCATCTTCTAATACTGCTTCAGTTTGCAAAATGCTTATCCAATGTTTTGAAAGTCATAACTAAAGAATAAAAAAAATCAACATCAATGAAAATGCTTTAAAGCTGCAAACTAAAGGCATTAGATACAAATTCATATGCAAATTTTAATAAGACAGAAAAGAACTCCCTTGTTGCAAACTTTATTCAAATACCATGGAGGATGTCATGAAGAGATCCATTAGATGCAAACTCGTAGGCGAGGACGCGCTGATTTCCATCAAGACAATAACCAAGTAGTTCCACAAAGTTTTCATGTTTTAGCCTCGATACCATAGAAACCTGCAATTTCAAAAATGGGATATTATGGATGCTTCATACCTAATTCCCAAGAAAATACTTAAATTGCATCTTCAAAACAAACCTGAGCTAAGAATTCGTCATCCGGTTGTTTGCTTGCATCCAATTTCTTTATAGCTGCAGCCTGGCCACTATTAAGAACTCCATAATACACTCTTCCATACGAGCCTTCCCCTATTAAGGAATCTGTGCTAAAGTTACTTGTAACTTCCTTCAGTTCCTCTACTGGAATTGATGGAACTGCAATAGGCTGGATTTTTACAGCTTGATCTTTTGATGCAGCTTCTGTACTATGATAATTTCCATTATTTCCTACCAGAAAAAACTCATTGTAGTTTAGACTTGAGAATATCAATAGTATGTGGATAAAATGAAGTAAGCTTTTGTACCAGCTAACATAATGCATCTGTAACATAAAATTACCAGATCAGGGACCTTGATTTAATGAAAACCTAGTGTCTAATGACACAGTCTTCGAACCGAAAAAGAAATGTTATCTCAATGTGTTTGAGAAGCCAACAGACATAATTCCAGAATTGAAGTAAAAAGGTCAAGTTCAACAAATTCATGCGAACATATGATTTCACGAAATCCGACTAGTAACAAAAGACATAAAGCAGGTCAATACATGCCAAGCCTTTAGCCTTCTGCTTAATTAATTGTAGGACTGCTGGACTTAAAAAAAGTGTACTGATCAGGATGCAGAATCAATATCAAGATATTCTAAATCAGACATTAATGACTACTCATAAGCATTATTGCATTACCAGCTGAATTTTTTGCTGCATAGTGGCCTCCACCATCAGCATTATTGTTGGTCTCATCTTCTCCGCAGCAGTTAAAGCAACTCATAGTAGTTCAATCGAAGGATGTCCTTCCTTTTCAATCGTCTGAGCAAGAGAGAGCACATAATTAATTTTTTTAAATTCTTGAAATATGACTTCAAGGAAATGTATTTTCTATTAGGTAAATAAGCCGAACAACAGTAAAAGTGAAATGTCATTGCGCAAATATAACACTTCATGGAACAACATGATGCAGACAGTATATAGATCATCCCATTAAATTCTTTACTCTAAAACTCTGACTTTGAGCAGATATTTTTTGACATGGGCAGTTTGCGTAGACACTCTGATAGTGAAAGATGTCTGCGCACACTGCCCATGTCAAAAAATATATGCTCTTAAGTGCGCAGATATTTATTCCAACAGAATGACAACCGAAGCTTTCGATTCCAATAGATACTAGGCACACTAATGCGCGTCCAATTGGGGTCATTATAACTGGAATTTATACAAGTATCCAAGTAGTCAAAATGCTTTCAGCAGGAGTAACGAAAAAAAAAAGTTATGTTTACAAATTAAGGCCTATATAAGCAAAAGATGCTTAAGAATCAGAGCAATATCTATGATCATTTTAGATAACTGCATCACTTGTCATCCAAAATTGTGAATTAATGCACATAACCGAAAGCCTAAGATCAGTTCCAAGGCCACCTCATTAAAAATAAATAAAAATGAAAACTATGAGAAAACCTTATAAACAAACAAAGGGTGAATAAACTAAGTGAAAGCATACAGAAATTGGTGAAAATGAAGAGTGAAGCATCATTCAGACACCAGTGGTAGAGCTCGAAATCAATTGTACTAGATCCCGCAAAATAAAGGAACCAAGGATCATAAAATGAAAAATCATACTCGTATTTAAATTTAAAACAAAACAAAGATGGGGGAAGAAAAACAAGAAATGAAGTAAAATGAGTTAGAAACTGAAAAGTAAAAAAGGTGGATTGAGTAGAAAAAAATACTCACGATTGTGCTGTGAAATGCAACCAAAGTCTGTCTGTCTTCTCACATCAGCCAACCTCTGTAACAACAACGGGAAAAAAAGAAAAATGGAAGGGTGGGTGGGTGTGTGTGTATGGGGGCGGCGGTCAAAATAAGAAGATCCGGAATTCGATGCCGGCGATAAAGACGGAATTTGATTTCTGTATATTTTACCACCAGGAAGTCAGCCCGACTTTGACCCGTTACTGTATTGGACTATAGAGAAATTGTAGGAAGGTGTAACAAGTTATCAGTTACTGCACTTTGCACCTCTCTTTTTTGTCATTTCATATTTGTTACCAAATAAATTAAAATGCAAATGAACAACTAATTTGGACATTTATTTTCTTAATCAATCATTTACAGTATGTAATAATATCATTTACCGTATGGGTCCATGTCCATCTGAAACTATTAACTAACGAGGCCTAAGTTAATGAGGATGCACAACTCTAAATAAAATCAAGGTCTATGGAGTAAGATGCGTTTGCAACGTTTGGAAAAAAAATTGATTTGTTTTTATTGTTTTCCCCATGACAAATCTGTTAACTTTTTCAAATTTTATAACTATATATATGATCAAGATAATTAATACAGGAGAGCTAGCTTGATAACCATTTATTGCACAAATGGACTTATTCATGGATCAGTGAAATGATTGTTTGATGAGAGAAAATGCAATAATTTTTGTATTAACTAATCGATACTCTAAATAAATTAATAAAAGGTGCATATATATGTGATGTTCCTGTGGAGGACCAATATATATGGAAATTAGTTAACTACTAGTACGTACGAGTAAATTATTAAAAAGAAATGTCAGGTTGGAAGGTAACTGGAAACCAAATTAAATCAATTACACAAAACATGCATGATTAAAAGACTAATCAAGAAGCATTAATTATAATAATATAAATAACTAATAATCATGTGCTGATCTGTTGAGAATATTGAGATATGAAATATGGTAAAACTGAATTAGGATCCCAACATTAATTGTATTTTGTAAGAAAAAAGTAAATAAATAAGGGAAGAGGAGGTGTAAAAAGTGAGGGGGGCAGTGGGCATGTGCCCACTTCGTTTGGAAGGTGGAGATGATAGGTGGTGGCCGGGGCCCGCCCACAATAAATAAATATATAATTAATTAATTTGTAACAAGTCAAATATATAATTTCCTGCAGGCACGAGATATATAGAGCTCCTCTCCCCTAATCTCTCTCACACACACACACACACACTATACAATACACATGACTATTCCATATATCATTGCTCCTCTAAACTTACTTAACAGTTTTATTTAACACATGCAGCTTTATTATATTAGTATTTTAATTGTTGATATATGTTGCTCGTATGCATCTATGGAATACCAAATTTATGTGTTTTTAGCTCACATGTCTAAAGTGATTGTTACAGTCGAAGATAAAGATTTTTCATCGACCTATACGGTTATTGTAACGCAATTTCGTGTTTACAATTGGACGATTGGTGTCACAAATAAACACAAGTTTTACAGACAAACACCATCATTTAGCTAGCCAGGTACATCATGAATTATATATTATTATAATAATAATATTAATATAATTACCAATGATCAGACCAATCATTGGCAGATCCCAACCTCAAATTATTAGTTTGACTGAAATTTTTTGTATATATTTGCTCGAAATTGGAGCTGTTAGTGTATTGCATCAAAATCAATATATGGGTCAAAAGTGAAAATTTAAACGAGGAAGCCCCATGCACGGCCTTGATTACAAATATGTGAATGAAATAATAAAGAGAGAAAAATATAAATATTTAGGAGGAGGGGAGGAGGGGCAACAGCATGTGGGTTTGCATACAAATTTGATAATATTTTTATGTGATTCTTGCGTGTTTTCTCCCACTGTCGGCCACATTCACAAAATCCAAAATATATCAACAATTCTTCTTAATATTTAGTTAATTATGAGATATATATAAAAAAATAAATAATAATAATATGAGTGGACCAGGAGAGTGACCAATTCAACGTATTGGTCAAACTAGACCGAACAAAGACCATTATGATCCATGTGAACTTTGTTGCCACACCATTTCTCATTTATTTATTTATTTTTGTTATTATGTAATGAAAGGAAGCATGAAATGGGTCTTCGTAATTTGTATGGAATGGAATGGATGAAATTGGCACGCTTCTCTAGTAGGAGTACTATACAACTACAACACACAAATTCTCCCAAAACCATTTATAATGTTAATCCTTATTTAAATCCAATATAGTCAACAAGTAATAGTAAATGATGTTTTATTTATTTTCAATAATAAAAATGAGGAAAATCTCTTTTTAACTAACTAACTACCCTCTAACCGTGTCTATCTATTATGGCATGGCATGGCATGGCATGGCATGGGAGAAAGAGAGAATAATAAAATAATAAAATAAATGGCCCATAATCAAATTGGAGCATCTGTGTGAAAGCAAGAGGGTCTCTGTGGTGGGCCGGCCTTCCAAATTTCATCGCATTCCTATTTCTTTTTCTTTTTTTTTTTTGCTTTCTTACCACTCTTCCCTAATTTTTAATGATATTAATAATTCATCAACGATATTTTATTCATTTATAGCAATTGTTACAGAAAATTTCTAAACAAAAACATTATTTACTGAAGCTAAATAATTTTTATTTATTAACAAAAAAAAAAAAAAAAAAAAGAACACATTTTTTTTAAGTTGTAGGAGGAGGAGGGGGGGGGGGGGGTGAGTGCTGGAACAAACAGTCGGTTATGTATGTAGTAGCAAACAAATGGACGTCCCCACACTACACTACATACGAAAGAAAACCAACTCTACTCAAACAAAAACCACCACTCAACATCTCTCTCTCTCACACACACACACACTTCACATTCATATCCCCCACCCACCCACCTTCCTTCCGCACCTTTCGCCACCGCCTCCCACCCAACTTGTCTCTACTTTATTCTCCCCTCCTCCGCCGTCAATTCACCTTAAACTCTTCCGTCAGCTTCTCTCTCTCTCTCTCTCTCTCTTAATGCTTTCTTCACTTATTACTTAATATTGGAGGAGCTTCTTCAGTTCTACTCCTTTCGTCGTCAACTCTGATTTTTGGTTTTTATTTCCTCACCCCCTCCCTTCCCCTCTTCTGGTATTTTGTCTTCACGATTTTGATGTTCTTAGTCTGAGTTTGTTCCGTTCGTTGCTTTGAACTTTCAATTGGATTCCTGGAGATGTTCTTTCTCGATTTTTGCGGCCGTACGTACGGAGGCTTTTCTAATTAGGTGAAACTTTCACCTAGAGTTGGAAACGGAATTCTCTGATCTGTGTTGCAAACAATTTCTCCAAGCATCCAGTCCAGGCCTTTCTGACTGTTTTCTAGCTAGGAAGGAATCTATGGAGGCTAGAATTGGAGGTCAAGCTCAGCTATATTATGGTATGGCTTCTACAGATTTGAATGCAGTCCGGAAACGGAGCTTGGAATGGGATCCCAACGATTGGCGATGGGATGGGGACCTCTTCATTGCTACACCTCTCAATCGCACTTCCTCTAATTATCAAAGCAGACAGTTGTTTCCACTCGAATCTGGAATTACCACAACTCGTGCTTCCTCTAACAGTTCTTCCTCTGATTCTGATGAATTAAGTCAAGGAGTTCTGAAAGGTAATATGGAATTGGAGAAGAAGAGGAGGGCCAGTGATGTGGGAGACAATAACTTAGCCGACGACACTCTTAATCTGAACCTTGGTGGACGAGGGTACACAAAGCCCGGGAATGTGGAACCGGCAACAACTGCGAAGAAGACCAAGCTGGGTGGGGGGGCGACACCTAATCGTTCAGTTTGCCAGGTCGAGGGTTGCGGGTCGGATCTCAGCAGGGCTAAAGACTATCATAGGCGCCATAAGGTCTGTGAGATGCATTCCAAGGCTAGCAAGGCACTTGTCGGAAATCAAATGCAACGTTTCTGCCAGCAGTGCAGCAGGTTAGTTCTACTACTCGGTTGCTCATTTTTTAAGTCCTTAAGTCATCTAGACACTTAAATGGTTATTGCTGCTCAATAATGAGTTTTGGGATAGAATGAAGGGTAGCAAATGATGGTTTTAACATAGCATATTTCATAACTGGTATACCTAAGGAATAGATTCATAGAGTGTTAATGGCTTTGGTTGTCATTTTTGTAGACGGTATTTGCAATATGACTGAATGAAATTAAGAAGATGAAATATATTACCATCGCCTGTATGTATATGCAGTGATTCTATGTTGATTACATTTTGTAAGAATGGGATGATCTTGGGAAATTTCTGTCTGTGATATACATAAAAATCTGATTGTGCTATTTATTTTCATAGTACATTATTATCAGCGGATTTTTTAATTAGGTTAATTAGATGCCTATAATTATGCAAATTGGCAGGTTTCATGCACTTCAAGAGTTTGACGAAGGAAAGAGAAGTTGTCGCCGGCGATTGGCTGGCCACAATAAAAGGAGGAGGAAAACACTAACTGACAACGTCAGTAATAACAGTCCAGTCAATGACAGCCAGGCAAGCGGTTATCTGTTGATGAGTATACTGAAGATACTCTCCAACATGCACTGTAAGCAAATGACGTTCTTCCCTGTCTAGGAAAGATTGTAATGTGGTATGATCCGAATATGACAACTCTAACAATGATCACCTTTTTCTGATTTTCATCATATGCAGCTGATAGGACAAACCACGATAATCAGGATCTCTTGTCTCATCTTCTGCAAAGCCTTGCCAGTCAGGGATCCAACCAATGGGATAGAAGCATACCGGCACATCTAAAGGAATCTCAAAACCTACTCAATAATTTGCCTTCCTTGGGGAATTCAGAATTAGCATCTGTATTGCTTTCTAATGGCTCTCTAGGACAAAGATCTAGACAGGAACATTCAAATCATGGTGATGACATGCCAAGAAATGCTGGGGATTTACATACGGCATCTCAAAGTCCAGGCAACGTGTTACACTCCCAAGCCAGTTCTCAAATTTATCCTCAAGGCAGGGAAATTTCTGGTGAAAGGAGCAAAGCAAACAATTTTGATTTGAATGATGTTTATGTTGACTCGGATGATGGCATGGAATACATAGAAAGATCTACTGCTCCACAGGGTCTTGGGACTGTTTCTATTGGACATCCTTCATGGGTGCAACGAGAATCTGATCAGTCAAGTCCGCCTCAGACTAGCGGCAATTCTGATTCTGCATCTGCACAGTCACCATCCAGTTCCATTGGAGAGGATCAGGTAACTTTGCTTCTCCCTTAAACTGTTTGTAGAATCCACTGGATCAGTTAAATTGAAAAAATGATGCCTCAAAAATGTTTGACATAGCTGCATTTTTTACCGCCTGTGATAATATTAAGCAAGCTGGCCCCTTCCGTTTAACATTTTATTTGTTTCTATGCTTTGTTCTTTTGCTTTCTTCTTTTGATTTATTTCATTACAGAGACACACGGACCGCATTGTCTTCAAACTATTTGGAAAGGAACCTAGTGATTTTCCCATCGTTTTACGAGCCCAGGTAATTTTGAACTTTCTTTTTCTGGTAACTATGACACTCTAATAATACTCTGTCACCTTTCCTTTTTATGAGTGCCTCCCCTTCATATGCACCTCTTTATATTTCTATCTGACAATTTAACCATGAGAATTTTGAACTTCCAGATTTTTGATTGGTTATCCAATAGTCCTTCTGACATAGAGAGCTACATTAGGCCAGGTTGTGTCATTTTGACTCTATATCTTCGTCTACCCGAGTCTGAATGGGAAGAGGTATGTTTTCTGATAGTATACAGAGACATGAGTGTGTAATTTCAATTCCACGTTCATTATTGAACTCATGTAATTGTCAAAATCTAAAGTTTTTTTTTGTCCTTCTCATGAGTAGCTCTACTGTGATCTGAGCTCCAGTCTAACTCGGCTTTTGAATTTCTCCGACGATATCAATTTCTGGAGTACTGGATGGATCTATGCCAGGGTGCAGAATCAGATAGCATTTGCCTGCAATGGTTATCTCCTAATGCATTCCTCCAATAATTCTCTGTCATCTTTTATATTTGGATTCTGAACTTGATTATGTGTTTGTTTGTGGATATCTTAGTTGGACATTTGAACATGCAGGTCAGGTAGTTGTTAACACATCTTTGCCTCTTGGAACTGATAACTATGGCACAATTTTGAGTGTCAGACCTATTGCTGTGACATCATCTGCACAAGCTGAATTCGTTGTTAAAGGCTTTAATTTATCACTACCTACGACAAGGTATGCATTGTCATTTGCAATGTGAAGAGCATGTTCTTATCTTTTCAATAGTTGTAATAAAAGAACTGCTATTTATTGGCTTCGTACACCATTGTCTCCCCTAGCTTAGGTAATTATTGAGTTGTCATCATTATATACCCAAGCCTTTGAGATAATCAGAAGGATTCTTATCATCTGTTTGCCAGGTTACTCTGTGCACTGGAAGGAAAATATCTGGAAGCTAAAAGTGAGTCGGTGGAACATGTTGACGGCTTTGAGGGGAATGCTCAATATATCAAGTATTCCTGTTCTATTCCTGCAGTTACCGGAAGAGGTTTATGGAGGTGACGATTTATTCAGCTTATAGTAAAACTATCCATAGTATGTTGCATCAAGTTAGTGTATGCCGATCATACTGCATGTAATTTTACACATGATGACTGCTATGCTGATTCATACTCTGGATTGACTTAAATTGCTATTGAATAATGTTTTGCCTCATTGTACTTTTTTACCTTGATATGCATAAAGCCAAGTTCTCATTAACAAACTCCCTGATCATACATGCAATATAGATCTTGAATCCCATGACTATGAAAATTACTGCAAGTTTTGATAACTTCGACATACTTCTGATATTCAGGTTGAAGATCATGGTATCAGTAGCAGCTTTGCTCCCTTCATAGTTGCTGAAGATAACATTTGTACTGAGATTCGCATGCTAGAGAAAGAAATAGAAATGATGGAGATAGACAATCTAAGGAGAGGAACAGGGAGATTTGGTGTGCCAAACCAAGCCATGGAGTTTATACATGAAATGGGATGGCTTCTCCACAAATTTCAGTTAATGTCTCGATATGGACACGAAGATCCTAACCTGGATTGTTTTCCTTTCGAACGGTTCAAGTATCTTGTAGAGTTTTCAATGGACCGTGACTGGTGTTCTGTTGTAAGTAAGCTCCTGGATATTCTTTTCTATGGAACAGTGAGTGGTGGAGAGCAACCATTGTTGAAGTTTGCTCTGTCTGAGATGGGTCTGCTCCACAGAGCAGTAAGGAGAAATTCAAGACCCCTGGTGGAGATGCTGTTGAGATATGTGCCTGAAAAAGTAGCAGATTACCTAAGTTTGGAATACAAATCCCTAGTTGATATTGAGCAGAGTTCCTTGTTTAGACCTGATGTTGCAGGACCTGGAGGTCTCACACCTCTTCATGTAGCAGCTGGTAGGGATGGATCTGAAGACATCTTGGACGCTTTGACTGATGATCCCAGAAAGGTAATCTTGTTACGAGTTAAGACTGACCAATTTGATTGTCAGTAATAAGATATCCTCAGAGTACTGATACACACGTCTTTTTTTCAGGTGGGGATTGTAGCATGGAAGACTGCCCTAGATAGCACAGGTTTCACACCTGAAGATTATGCTCGTCTCAGAGGACACTACTCTTATATTCACCTTGTTCAGAGGAAAATGAACAAGAAAGTATCTTCAGGGCATGTAGTTGTTGACATTTTCGATACTGTTCCGGATAGCAGCAGCAGCAGCAGCAGCAGCATAAAGCAGAAGCCAAATGTAGAAACCGCAGCTGCTAGTTTTGAGATTGGAAGGTCAGAGATGAAACGCATTCAACGGCCGTGTGGTGTTTGTGCTCAGAATGGTGCCCACAGGACTGGCAGTCGGACTCTACTCTACAGACCGGCAATGCTCTCAATGTTGACCATAGCAGCTGTATGCGTGTGTGTGGCTCTTCTTTTCAAGAGCTCGCCTAAAGTTCTTTTCGTGTTCCGTCCATTCAGGTGGGAGATGTTGGAGTACGGTTCCAGCTGATGAGGTGGTCAATGTGATAATAATAATAATAAAGTGTGATAAATATATCTATTTTGTTTGTGTGTCTGTGTGCATTTGTAAACTGTAGAGCTGAGGCACTTTGTACCGTATAAGTAGCCCCCTTAGAGAAGATTTTAAGATTCCATTAGCTTAACTGTAACTTATGTTGTATCAATTTTCTTGTTTTTTTTTTCTTTTGGAATTTGGGAATCAGAGGACCCACCCTGTAATGTATGTTATTCTGGCTGTGATACTAATATTTGGGTTGTATTAATAAAATAATTTATTACTAACATTGTTGAATGCGCATTACAAAATTTAAATAAAAAATAACACAAACCAATTAATGGCAACAATAATTGTTCTAACATTGACGAGTCTAGGATATTGTTATACGGTGGACTTAAATTTACGGGGGTTTGGCGGCAACACCCCGGAAAAAAAAAAAGGTTTTTTTCAGGATTTTTGAAAATTATTTTGAATTTTGTGTACTAAATAATACAATTTGGGGGGACTTAATATGGGCTTGAGTCGACCATTTCACAATTTTTAAGTACCTTATCCTACTTGTTTTTATTTATTTATTATTTTTCTTTGTTTTTTTCAAATAAAAACACTTTAAATATTTTTTTAGAGAAATTGATTTTTTGTCGAAAATTAGACTGAAATTGCGATTTATAAAAGTTGGCATATGTCAATTAGTAAACACAAAGATATGTAAACTAAATGTAATAAAAGATAAAAATGAAGTTGACAGTATTCACTATATAATGCCAGAAACCTCCACATTATTCCCAACCAATGCTCACAAATCTCAAACCCTAGCCATGCTGCCCGAGAGTAAGGTGTAAGAAAATTGAAAACCGTTTGATAAAATTAATCTGCAGTCGTAAAGAGTAATTAGTGCAGCAGAGCCAACCAATTCAGAACCTTCTATTCATAGTCATAGATTTAGTTTTTTTTTTTGTTATATTACCAGAACCCCCCGAGGGGTCTTTTTGGTAATACGACCTTACCACAGGGGAAGTTTCCTGGTAACCCGCAGAATATCTTGCAACAATCTGATAGCCCATATGTGAGAAGTGCGATAGGGTAGAGGTCACTTACTTAAAACTAGCTATCCCCATCAGATGCCCGAAAATTCAATCATCTGCATCCCTCTTCCAGCAACTGCAATCTGATAATGATCTCTGCATTCACATACAAACAATCGAGTTACAACTTTTTTTTGTGGGGTGGGGGGAAAATCAACCAGAACTGAGGTATAATATCAATCACCTGCCACATGTTTTAACATCCAAAGCTTCTGGTTCAGGCACGCTAATTATTAAATGGGCAAACTCAGTAAGTCTACCATTATTAAGGTTCCAACACCGGACACGCTGATCAAGACCCACAGAGAAAACCCAAATCCCATCCGTCCATACACCTACGAATTATGACACAAACATCAAACATAAAATAAAAAAATGCATGATAATATATCTCAGAATAATATTCCAACAGTCTGAAGCTACGGGGTAAAATACCTTTGACAGCAGAACTGTGAGCTGAGATTATCTTATCCAAATAACAGACCTGCATCTGATGTTTTTGGACCAGAAAATGGTCTTTGGAGTTGTTCTTGGCCACTGGTGGAGTTGTGCAATGATTTACCGGAGTCATATTCTGAGAGTTTTCATCTATCGGATTGACTTGCAATTCAAATCTAAGACAACTAATTGCCTGATCATCCCCCCCACTTACGACATAGAATGAGAACCTAGAGCCGGAGAGACTTAGATCCTTAATATCTGAAACGTGAAGGCAATTGATTCCAGATTGATGGATATTATCCAAGATTTGCACGGGCGCCAATACACTTATTTCTGGTAATAAATCATCTTTTCTTCTTCCCGAAACAAATGAAGCCTGCTGTGTGTCAGCTTGGAAAGGAATATCAGCAACACTTGTTCCCGAAAGAGACGTTTCAGATGCTATGCTCTCCATTTCATTGCCAGAATCTGATTTTCCAGTGGACACTGAATCCGTGCATGCTTTTCCTCTCAAAATGCAATGCCCTGGTTTCTTCTTGGCTTTATGATGGTCTATGGATCGCCACCGTCGACCCCCTTGGCTTCCTCTACCAGTGCGTGGCCGCTTCTGGAGATCCATCAAGTTTTCCATTTGAAGGCCTGATACTTGCCGCATAAAGTTTTCTACGCATTCAGTCAGATCCCAGATTGCAATAGTTCCATCAGTAGATCCAGTAATTGCCATGTAAAAACTCCCACTTTGTATGTTTCCTTGAAAACCAGAATTAAGTCATAAATTAAAACATCGAGAAAGATTCAGAAGAGGAACGAATAATCGAGAAAGATCCAGTCCAAATTGTTGAGTATTGATGGAATCGTTTAACTAAATCAAATTAATGTAAACTAACCTTTAGACGGAAGAAGCTTAGGAATGACAACATGCTGCAAAGCTAGTACGGGTGATGATATGGGAGCCAATGAGGCAACATCAAACCTGCCATGAAGTTGAGACAGAGAATTGGCAAAGAAGGAATATAACTTATAAAATAAAATAAAATCATTTTCAGCATTTAGTGATTAAAAATAGGTTTTCAAATGCTGAAATTTAATCTTGGGCCCTGAGATACGTACCAAAGCCGATAAGGCAACAAAAGAGCCCTTAGTGTAACTGTAGCATCTGAACAAGCAATAACGACAAAACAAACAGAAATCCTGCACAAGAAACACTTTCACTTATGAGTTATGGTAATTCTGAATGAAATACTCTAAAAACAAATGACGGGAAACAAAAAAACCCTATTTTTACTTGAACAAACCTGGAGCCAGCCTCTTTAACAAGAAAAGCAGTAACGTCTAGGTATCTCCAGTCATTTTCGAGATTATCTTCAGGGCAGAGGTTTGACTCCATTGTCATGTAATTCGAAGAAAGCAATTCAGTTGAAATAGTATCTGATGTATTAGTGCTTGTACATTCAGCTGATTCAGTAACTTCCTTCGCGTTTTGCCTTTTCAGGTGACTAGTGTGGTTGAGTGGCATATCACTGGAGAGCCACTGGAAAGAGAATGAAGACATAGTTGATGTAGATGAACCTTTGAAGTCATTTTCATTCTTCTTGTCTATCTCGCTGCTTATAGTGCCCTCCCTTTTGTTGCCCATATTAATAATTTGTTTCCATGCAGTTACAACCCTTTTTGCACCAACAGATATTAAGATAAAGGGATCTCTATCCTCTAATGTTCCGTTTTGTCTGTCAACTTCAGTAGGGATGTCAGGCATGAATATATGCATCTTTGACACAGAGCATATTGCACGTACAGCTGATCCACCAATTTGTTCCCCAAGATGTTGGGAGGACAACCAATTTTCCAGACCTGGTTCGTATCTGAAAAACTTATTACATTATTAATTTGCAAAGACTAATGAATTTAAAGACTTGAACGAGCTACATTGTTCCAGGTTACATCAGATACTTTTTAGCTTAACAAATTAGATTAAATACCTAGTCAATCGCACAGTTCCATCTTCACAACCAGTTGCAACCCAACTAGAATCAGAAACCAATGCCTGATTTTCATCTGAACTACACAAGGAATGTCCAGAGATAAAGCACAAGGAATGTATTTCTCTCCCGTGAAACTGCAAATGGAGATTTTGAGGATATATCCTCCTATCATTTGTTGGCACCCAGTGCCTATGGACATATATGACATCATCCTGTAAGAAAGCACAGAAGGATTGCATATCACTGAATCTGTGGGGGATAAATGCTATAAAAATGATATAATTCGAAGTTCAGAACTTCAAAACAAAAAAAAAAAAAAAATTTGCATCGAAATTGCACCTTAAAAACGAAATACTAGTTTTAAACTTTAGAAATATGATTTTGTCTTATTGTTGAGAGAATGGGTTCTTGATTGACAGAAACGGTGAGAAACTGGGAGAGAATCGTTTCAAAAGATGAAATAGTGAGTACCTCAGATAATGCATCATACTGGTTAATAATAAGGAAGCGGTAATTCTTAAATTATCATTCCAACTGACTAGATAAATGATCTTTAGTAATGTAAACAGCATTCATCGCTAACACACATACATGAAACTGGAAAAAATACCTTCACAAAAGAAAAACAGTTCATCATCTCCGGCAAGTCACCAAGATAATGAGAATGAGGACGCCGCCAACCACCACATGTAATTTGTAGAACCTTTCGCCAAAAATCCAAGCACGCACATAAGATCACATAAGCATTCACACATAATTAGATATATTGATGAATGTTCTTGCTAAGGAAGCTAACTTCCTAGCTTCATGGTACGATATAAGCCCCCTCCGAACTAACTTGACATATATAACTTAATCAAAATTTCGAAAAAAAGATACACAGGGTACTCGGGGAACTTAAAACTATTTGTCTCACAAATAATCTTTTAAGCTACTAATTATCCCGGTTTTTCTTTGGGCATTTCTAAAACAACCGTGCAGAAAATGCATTTGCAAAAACAAGATTCAGAAGGTTGAAGTTCTTCTTCCAACATCATCCTGCAATAAGAATGTGAAAAACCTCGACATC